CTGTCTTTATCTTTTATTGTTCTCATATCGGTATTCGTAGTGAAAGGCTTAGTTAGGGCTGTCTTTATTTTTTATTGTTCTCATATCGGTATTGGTAGTGAAAGGCTTAGTCGGGGCTGTCTTTATTCTTTATAATTTACTGCTGTCCAATGAAAGGCTTTCTATATTTCTTTGGTATTCCGAGGCTCTTCTTTAAAAAAATAACTTTCCTGGTGATGTAAAATGACAACAGTCAGTTAAAAGAAAGTAAAGATTAATTAAAATTTAGTCCTTTTTTTTTTTCTGTCTGAGGTTAATCTGGGAAGAAGTTAATTCGCCCGATGACAAGAAAGTAAAATTTTCTCTCAGTTGGCCGTGAGAAGCTTACTAAATATAAAAAACAATGATATCTAACTAATCAAATTTTATATTTTTTAAGACAAAATCTGACGTCGTTCGTTGTAGAGGAATATTTGTTTAGAAATATTATACTAAGTTCCACGTATACATACCATAAACATGAACTTTTTTTGCGTGTGGTGAAATCATAAGATAAACATACAAAACATTACAGTGGTTAAAAAAATTAACTGTCAAACAAAAATAAATAAATTACAGGAGTTTGATTGCGAAATCGAATATTTTTCACAATTAGTTGTCCAAACTCAAAAGTTTGGGTATAGCAGCATGTAGTCCGCGGAAAACTCGCGGGCTAACGACTAAGATCTGGGGTTCGATTCTCCGCAGCCGACAGAGCGCAGATAGCTTTGTTCTAAACAAACACGTAGGACAATAGAATAATTTTAGTACTCGTACAGATATTCAATTCCAGAGTATGTAACTCTGCTGCGGGTATAATTCATTTTTGTGCAAAAACTAATGCGTAGAGGTTTTGGTTTTTTCAACCTTCATGGGGGCCCCCCAGTGGCACAGCGGTATGTCTGCGGACTTACAACGCTAGAAATCGGGTTTCCGATACCCGTGGTGGGCAGAGCACAGATAGCCCTTGTGTAGCTTTGTGCATAATTAAAAAACAAACAACCTTCATGGACGTCTTCATGTAACAAACGGCCAGGTGAAAAGCCTTTAAAGTTCAGGTATAGCCACTCCAAATTTAGAACTGTTGACGTCAATGAGTTAGCAGCACCTACTGCCTATGCGAGTACTTTTAACCGAATAAGGGAGTTGACTGTCACAGTTTTAATGCTTCTATAACTGAAAGTACGAAGCATGGCTCTGCAGCATATCGTCCCTCGAACCCAGAATCTTTCGATTTGGAGTTCGACGTTCTAACTACTAAGCTTCACCTGGCTATAGATGCATGAAAATTAACTTGTTATATAAACAAAGGAGGAAGGGAATGTAACAACTTACTTTGGAAACAATCCAAGAAAGTTAACAATAAAAACTGGGGTGGATAACTCCAAGTTATTAACGCCTGAAAACTGGTATATGCAAAGCGATAATTTCAAAATCCACTTTCGTTTTATAACTGTTAAACCGGAATAATAGAGAAAAACCCTCAAGTTTACAAAACAATGAAATCTTTTTTTTTGTTGTTGTTGTTGGAGATTTGTTATTTAGATTATACATGTAACGAAGTATCCAAAATTATAAAAAGATTATGGCTTATAGCTTTGCACTGCGCGTATTACGATATTACAAAAAAAACACTTGAAACGAACCTAAATTTAAGGTAGTTATTTAGGCTATTTCTTTATTTCATCCAATTGACCTTTTCGTGTAAAGTGTTTGTTTCTAAAATCTTGTGAGAAATTACACAACGGTTATATACGTATAGCCGTCCTTAATTTTGTTTGTTTGTTGCTAAGCGCAAATCTACACAATAGCCATGTGTGCTGTGTTCACTAAGGGTATCGAAACCAGGATTTCAGTGACTTAACGTTATGCCACTGGGGTGGAGGAGGCACTAATTTTCAGCTGAAAGGTTAGAAAGAAGGAAAGGAAACTGGTCAACAGCACTCACCGCCAACTCTTGGGCTAGTCTTGTTTAACCTTATAGTGAGACTTGACCATCTCTCTTATAGCACATCTACGGTTCCAAAGCGCGGAGCGAGCTTTTATGGCAACGGGTCGCGAACCATGAACCCTATGATTCACAGTTCAGACACTCCATAGAGCTTGAATGACTAATTTATGTCATATCTAGTTAAGGTACAACATGTTTCAAGCTCGCACCACCATTGCCCCAACTACTTTCGGTCCAGAGCACTCAATGTTTAAATTTAGCTATGTATATTGAGTTTTAACCGTGCGTCGCGGGCGTGACTTATATATATATATATATATATATATA